GTATGTTACTTCATATTATAGTTATATCAATGTAAATCATTGTTTTCCCTTGTGTTTCTCATTCTTTCCCTGCCATGTCGTAAAATGTGGTGAACCCATCGCTATATTTGCTCCAAAGCAAATATTGGCCTTTCTAGTTTATATTAGAATTTTGTGGCTTGAAACATTCGTCTGATGTGAACGTTGTAAATTCTACTGTATGATGACGTAGTTCATGTCCCGAAAACTAAGACAGGTTACTGTACGTACGTACAGTTTAGGCATGCCAGTCAACCCTTGAAAACCGTATCATACGGGCTGAGTCAACATACGAACAGAAATGTTTGCAAAACTACATTGATATTAATTTCCATCACAACCACTGTTTCCATCGTGGCCTAAACGTAAACTCATATGAATAGACGAATGAGATTGAGACTGTCAGATGGTTTGGATACTATGGTTTGTAAAAAGATTCTTTATCGACACAACAAAAAAGCACAGTGACTTTTGTATGGTACCCGTCTTCTACAACTAAAGATGTAACAAAGCTAAATACACGTGTGGATAACGTCATCTTACGTACAGAGTATATGTATGCTCTTTCAATAAAGGTTTAAGTATTCTCTAACATGCATGGTCCCTAAGATCGAAACATTCTTTAATATATTTTCCTATTTGAACACTGTATTAGTTATCTCCCGAGAAGGTAGTTGAATTTATCTATAGAATTTAGCATATTAAAATCAATTGAACAAGCGGAAAGAAAGGTGCATGCTGGGAAGGAACAAAGATGGTAGCTCCTGGGGATCCCAGCTCAGAGGATGGAAATCTAACTCAATCTTCATCCACACACTGAGGGGGGGGGGGGGAACCTACAGAAGCCGCCATCTCGTGCTACAGATAGGACTCATTTATTTTTGCATTATTTTTGCGAGAGAGAGATGTTCATCGGCATGAAAGTTTATCTGAGTTGGTAAAATTACATTATGAAAAACTGTTCTCCAACTGAAAATTTGACTCACCAGAAATTTTCGACTGAATCACTCAGTCTTCCTCCTCAGCTATCTGACCCCAATGCTGTGAACACGTGATTTTCCCACGTGTGACGCCAGCAAAGGGTCAAAGGTTGTTTACCAACAAGTGCACGGAGCCGCTATGGGCTCACCTGTCTCCCCCATAGTGTGCAATCTTTATCTAGAATATTTAGAACAGTTGGCTATAAAAACCGCCCCACATCCCCCTCTTTGGTGGCACCGATATGTGGATGACACCCATACAGAGTTAAAGAAAATCTATGCACAGGAGTTCACAGACCATTTAACCCTAAACAGTACACCTGGGGTCCACGCGGACCCCAGCACTATATATTCTGTAATATTTTTTTTGTTTCTAAAGATTTTTTTCTGAAATTTTAGGTAATTGTTACCCACAAAGTTGTCTCTCAATACAGTGCAGAAAACTCCGTTTCTACCATTTATAAAAAAATTATATCTGATTTTCTTTTGGGGTCCGCGCGGACCCCAGCCGGCTTTCGATCATAATGGATACACTGGCGTTCTTATACATTACCTTATTTCCGTTTTTCTATGTTTTTATGCACTCATCGTATGTCTACCAAGTTTTCAGAGAATGGTGTAGTAATAGAATTACATTTTAATAACTTTGGTGTAATTATGACGTCATATGACGTCAGAGCTAATAATATAGTCCGCCATATTGGATTTTGACCAATGACGTCATCAAATTAGCATATTCTATGCATATTAAATGATTTAACTTATATTTAATTATGTAAGATGTTATTAATGTTGGAAAAGAATTGAAATTTAATATAAAACTCAGAAAATTTTTATGTTTAAACCAAAATTACTTCTATTTTCAAAAAAATAGCCCGTTGCCATGGCAACACAAAAAAACATCAACTTACTAGTATTAAACTAAAATGAACTTTTTTCCAGAGACATTTTAGGAAAGGTCTCCAAATTTGATACATCTAGCGAAAGCCGTTTAGCCGCTATCTGAGATCAAAGTTGGGCCTCAAAAGCCCCTTCAGTCTGAAATGGGTTTGAAAATCGGGTATTTCTTCTTGTCTTCTTTTCTTAACCAAAAAAATAGAAAAAGTTCAAAATGTATGATTTTTGTATGTAATGTGAACACAGAGGTTCCCACATCAGTTTGCAAAACAATTGAGCTGGTAGCATGTTGATAAGTTCTAAAAATTAGCAAAAAACTGTTCTGGGGTCCGCGCGGACCCCAGGTGTACAGATTAATCAGTCCGGGAAGGTGTACTGTTGAGGGTTAAACAGTTTGGACCCGGATATAAAGTTTACATTTCAACAAGAAGAAGACGGTTCACTGCCCTTCCCAGACACTCTAACAACAATCAACCATGACAGGTCTTTGCGGGATAACATATACCGTAAGGCGACACACACGGACCAATATCTAAATTTTTTCTCAAACCATTCATTATTTTTGGACCACAAATTGGGAGTGATCAAGACCCTTTTACATCCTAATGGCGACGGAACACTCCGACATATTCTCTTGAAGCTGTGCAGTTACAGGGACAAAGTACACATGATGAAACTTGCGTCCAAAAAGCTACATGATGGACGGGGGGAGGGGGACAAGTTATAAAGTTTGAATGGTGACCTATAGGGATATGATATGTGTTTACTAAGGTGTTGTATGTTTCAAAACGCATTTTTATGGCTCTATGATATCAACCACACACAGCTGTCAGTTACTGATCCGGCTCGGTCAGGAGACAATGTCTAAGTTTGGAACATTCACTATAATACCGGTACGATTCTAGCCCACGGGAAAGGATCATCTTGGTTGGCCACAAATGTCTTCCCCAAAATTTAAGAAAGAAGTTGCCGAAGGCAGAGAACAACTTCAAAATCAGTCACTTCCCCCTCCACCCGCAAAATACTAAGTGATCTCGAGAACATTATTCTAACGTTAACCCCATTCACCAAGGTACGGGAGTCTGTAGGTAAAACTCAAAGGTAATGAGGAAAAATCGCAACTCCCAAATCCACGAACACGGCGCGCCTTGAAAACCGATCTCTCTAAAGAGCAATCACCAGGTACACAGCTCCCAAACACTGATGCCGAGAATATGTTCACGGCACTGGTTGACGAACTAAATGATTTGAAGGAGCTAGTCTTCAACAACAAGACTACTATGGACTAACAGGGGTAAGTCAAGTAACAACATGATTCACAAAGTTGAGAAATAAGCACAGCAAATTGAGGATTTAACTGCTGAACTCAAACGCCAGCGCGAAGTAAAAAAGAGCCTCGAAAACGGTCTAGCCGCACGGGAATCAGTCCAGAAAGTTTTACAAGCTCAAGTTCTGACTTTGTCCAACGAAGCCCAACCATTCACCATGCCTACAAAACCAGCAAAGAGCAAAGTCCAAAGGAATTGATAGTTGGCACTCCGAGATTGTTTCTGGGGAACAAAAGCTCAGTAAACAGTGCAATCACCGATGTACGAGATGGTCCAACTGCTCGAGTCACAACAACCCTTCATGAGAGAAGCCACAAACTATTACCTCTTAATCAGGGAAGAAATACAGCAAACTCTGATGGATCTGGGGGAGTACAACCTGCACAAGGAGGAAACAGAACAATAAATGCTAGAACGCTTAAAAACCATTGAAGAAACAAGACATATGGTGCCCCGTGAGGACGGTGCAACAATTGCTGATTATATCATTTACCTGGTTAACACCTTGTGTGACCCAGCGACCCTTGAACGACCCAGCTAATCACCTCACAAACGAGGAGTATCGTCAGAAATTCAACCTACGACTCTCCGTGCAGTCTGCAGTAGAACAGCCACGCATATAAATCATCACTAGAAGCAAGAGCTCTGATGCTGAACAGCTCCTGTATGCTGAGACGAGATAGAAGAGAAGACTTGCCTTCTCTTCCTCTCCCATGACAGGCACCAGATGGAAGGGGGTACAGAGACATCGTCTGTTTCTCCAAAGGAGACAGTCCTCGACATCAGGTTTGTCTACAGCTTCTTCGCATGCACGCATGTAAAGAATCCTGCTTAAAGTATGGAGACAGGGAAAATTCATTCTAGACGGGCACATTACGTCCTAGAATAAATCAACATGTTGAGTTTGCCATGTCACAGAAACTTTGTGTTCTAAGTTGTAAACACTGATATTTTCATCTATTTGTGAATGTATCTATAGCATCTATCTGTTTAGCAAGCAGAAAGATGCTTTGAGCGTTTATCGTCGTATTAGGAACAATCCATAATAAAATGTTCATCTTCAATCTCATTTGGGCAGATGGACATCTAGTCACGAGAAGTTTTCTGATACATGTATCCTCCGATTTCTACATTTAATTCATGACTAAACATTCTTTTGTATTCTTATTTCCATTTTCTACAGACTGGACTGTGGCTCTTCGCAGAGTAATGGAGTCCTGCGTAATGTATGTTGGCGAGAATCCTGCGACATACTTCAAGCCGCTAGCTGCCGTCCGACCGACTCCGACCAACGAGCCAACCGTCCGACGGACCACGGCCTCCCGACCGCCCGACCAACTCCGACAAGCCGACTAAGTACGACCTTCCCACCAACCTCCACCGCACCGCCCCTGACCGCACGCCCAACCCCAGCCCGCGCCTCCACCCAACCCCGG